TATATGGCCACGCAATATGTATAATGTCTCATACTTCGTTCGGTAAATCATTGTCACCGCCATCTAATGTGGCCATCCTGACCAAAGCGCTCTAGAAAAGGTCGAAAGACTAGGAAAACTAGAAAGGATCGGGGGGGGGGGGGTCAATATTACATTCGCAAGCTTTGAAGATGTGGGAAATGGACAGATGTCATTCATGTCAGAGGATCGCAAAAGGACTCAAAGACCTCATACAGTCTTATGATACTAACGTGGTCAAGCGATAATGGATACGTTTGACAGAACCTAAGAGGGTACAGAGCCGTTGCTATACATTACTTGAAACCTGACACAGCTATACGCACAAAAGGTTCATTTCTGCCCAAGTTGCGGCTTTTGCGCTAATCAATTCATGAGGCCACGTAAAAATTGAAATCCCTTGCTAATCCCTCATCCCAAGCCCATCAAAACACTAAATCCCACTCCCGCTCGTAATTGTAATTCCCGCTTCCCGCCCCTGTTTTCAGCTCAAATCCCAAATATCACGGCGAAAAAAAGCCAAATCCCACATCCCGCCAAACCTATTGGGGACCCTCAGTGATCATGTTTCGAAAGGACCGAAAGGGCCTTGAAATGTCAGCAAAAAGCTGTTTGTTTTACATTTTTAATCAAGCTACGATGGCCAAAGACCAACAGTTTAGATGATATTTCATTTAGCTTTTATCAAGTGACGCTTTCAGAAGGAAGCCGAACATTTTATTGTGCTTTTAGGGAGTGCCGCCTTAAGGACAAAGCGGAAAATAGGCAGGCACTTTTAGAACAAGCTGTACCTTTTTAACTAGAAGCTGTGCATATTTTAGACATTTTACCGCTTTTAATGGGAAAAAAAAAATTCGCTGAACTTTTATAACGAGCAGCGCTTGTAAAGCCGCACTGAGCTTTCAAAACGATTTAGCCGTGGACATATTTCACGAGGCTTTTATCGGCGTAACCGCTTTTAGAACGACGAATAACAGATTTCGTACTATGTATAGGCTTTTTTACAAGTAGAGCTTTTTATAGAACCCATTACGTACAGCACTACTTTACACAACAACCGACTAATGTAGTTTACCATGCAACAGGATCTAACATTTTGTCAGTTTTCCGGCGCGGGTACCTAATTGATTACACAAATCCGACCATCTGGTGCATCTGTCACAAGTGAGCATGACAAAACAAGTGAACCCCCGCTATATGAACTATCATATCAGTTTGCATTTATTTCTAGGCTGCCGACGTTTGAAACAAGCCAGTGCGGGAGGCTAAGGTTTACCGGTTTTCATCAAGTTTAATTCATAGATTTTTGGATTCACAGTGGCGGATCTAGATCTATTTTGGGTAAAAGAAGAAGAAATGACAGAAGGAAGAAAAGCCGGCAGGGCAAGTAAAACAAAACCGGGCCCCCATCTTAGCTCAAGGTCTGGAAGCGCCACTGATACAGATTGGTTCTATGGTCCATAGCTCTTTTCTCCCGTTGTAAACGAAAATAGAGAACAATTGAGAAAGCGGAGGGAAAATGAACGAGCGTACACTTGAAATATTTACACGGTAAAAAAGCCGGGACGTCTTGTAATTTCTAGTCTTTTCAACCAAGAGTAAACAAGTTCTGTCTTCTCACCAATCATCCAGGCTATCAAACGAAATTAGGGCAAGTAGCTATATCAGTAGTAAGAGAAAATTAAACAGGATGAAAAACTCTATTGAACGCAAATGTCGTATTATGCCTGATTTAAAGACAACATTTTAACTTTCAAAACAAATAGCTACCTACCAAGTTAACTAGAAACTGGTTTATCCTCGCATATTTCTCATAAAATAAATTATTTCATATTTGAATGTAACAATGTAATGATTGACTAATAACAATTTCTTTCATATATTTCGTATCTTAATGTTGTTTTTAACTAAAAGCGTTTTTTTTTTCAGTGCACATAAACTACCGTGAATTAATAACATTCTAACCCTTAAGTTTAATTTGAGAGTATACTGATAATGTTACTTAAGTTAGGCCTTTTTGATGGTTTTCGGTAATCTTCGCAAATTTCCGGGAAAGCATAGAAGCGTTTGCACGATTTCCGACAAACTCCACGAAAATCTTCTTAAAACAATCGGAAGAGAAATTTTACTGTTTCTTCCGACTGCCATAAACACGTAAACTATTCTGTACGTCTATCTCTGTTCCATTTGAAGAGGTGAGCGCTGTCTATCCACGGCCCCAACCCGTAGGAGTTGTTTAACTTCCTTCTTGATGTCATGTTTGAGAAGTGCATAAGCGAAGGGATTAAACGCGGAGTTAGCAATCAGCAGCAATACCTGTGCCCTGTTTAACTCAAATGGAAGATCACAAAGCTCAAAGATGTCACAGCAGGACACTGCAATGGTTGTCGAGTAACACAGAACGAAGAATATGACGACGAATGCGATGAACCCCACGGAAGACCTTGCTCTGTTACCATGGCGCAAGGGAGGCGGGTTGGTGCTGCCCGGAGCGGGCTGATTGTAGCGTAATTGCTGCATGACGTTCGCCGTCTCGCGAGCGTGTTTTCTGGCGATGTAAAGCATATGTGCAGTGACAAACAGCAAGCTTACCGGGGGAATAAACTCGAAAATGACTGTCACTACGTAAGTGTAGTTCCTCATGTAGAGTATATGTTCTTCAGTGTTTATAAAAATCAAAGGAACAAAGGAAAAGATGAAAGGAAGAATCCAAGCCGCAAGGGTGAAGGCCACAGCCCGGTTCCTCGTCATAAATAAGACGTAGATAAACGGTTTCACGATGGCTATGTACCGGTCCACTGTAAGCGCGCACAGGTTGGCGACAGACGCGTACAAGAACGCCCATTGGAAAGACGCGAGTAGATGGTAGCGGCATTCTTCTATGGGTAAGCAGAAAAAATCGCCTGGAAACACGCTCAAGCTGACACCAAGGTCCGCGAAGGACAAAGACACGAGAAAACGGTTCGTGGTACGGTGGAGCTGCTCTTTTGAAGCAATCAGCAAAATGATGAAGCTGTTACCGACTAAAGCGAAGCCAGAGAGGAGAAATCCCGTTACAAGAAACCATTGAGGTTCTATCTCGTCCATCATCCTAAACGCAAACAGTAATGTTTTGTTAGCCAACTTCCTATTTTCCCTCGTTTTTATTAATTTCGGAAGTTGTGGAATCGAAGCTGTTCTCGGAGCTATTGCACGAAAAAAAAAAAAAAAAACTAAGAAAAACGAAGTTGTAAAGCAAAAAAATCTCACTCAAGTTCCTCCTCGCTTGGTTCAGTAAAATTCAACTGTTGGGCCATTTTCTTTCGTCACTCACTTCAACAATATATCATTACTGCTCTGAAACTTTGCAACAAATAACAATAAGATGGAGAATACATGCTAAAATGAAATGAAATGAGCGGCGCTCAATTTGTTCTGGACTGACTAATGACGCGTTTTGTCTATTGAGTTGTATTGAGTAGCATGACATTTCGATTAAATTTCGCTCATGTAAATAACAAGCCCCATATTTCTCCAAACACGAGGCTACTACATTTAAAAATATTTGACTGTTTGAATAAAACTTTGTCCCAATACCGTTTTCGTTCACGTATTGAATTATAATGCATCAAGTGTAGTTCTGTGTTTTGCTAAGTTTGAACGGAAGCTGAGGAACTTTTAATATAAATGCATTAGCGTTAATTTCGATAGCACCAGAATAACTAAAAAAAGCTCAAGAATAAAATAGGTTTCTGATTCTCTATTATTTCGCAGATATCATAGATCTATCGTCTTCAGAGAGTGCGTGTTTACGGAATTTCTCGCCTTTGAAAAACAAATTGACACCAACACTTTTTTTCACAGAGATCGGTGAAGTATTTATTTTCGATGGCTATTTTTATTAATTTTCTGTCAGACTACAGACAGCACTGACACTTAGCATTCTGCTAGGAAATGAACACTTCATATTATGACGGAAAGATCATCTTTTTTCCTCCTTTGAATGAGTTTTGTAATTATCTTTCTGTTCGCGTAACAAGTTAATAAAGAAAGTCGCAAGCTGTATTTTGCCTCGTGCTTCATTCGATAGGTGTACTCAAACTTTCAACTCTTAACTGTCTGTTATTCACGCATTCGGATAGTGAATCTGTACTGTTCGCAAGAAAGAGAGAAAAATTCCACGAGAGAGCTGCGGAACTGAGAAAACCAAACTGTGTTTCTTTAGTTTTTTTTTCCGTAATGAAGTTTTCCCCCTAAATGTCACTTGTAGCTAGCGCTGCCAAGCTCATGTCTTACTCAATTAGCAAGTGCTAGATGAAATGGACTACCCAGGCGTTTGCATTTTATATTATCGATTTGTAAATGGCACAGCACAGAACAGCCCAGAACTAAAATGATCAAATTCAGCAGATTATTTCATTTCCCCAGTTTGTAGAAATGGACCAATTATGGTGGCATATCTGAGATGTGACTCCGTGTTTGTTTTATTTCTATAAACAAGGGAAATGAATTAATACACTGTGCTTATATGTTGTCTTTTTTCGATGAACCATACACCGGTAAAAACGGACAACCTTTTCCGCACGCCGGCTTGAAAAGGAAATCTTTGAATGCGCTCTTTTAGGGGCTGGGAGTAAGATGGACTTGCCGATACCCCACCATGTCCTTTAATTTATCATCAGGGGGAGCGGTGTTAGAGATGCAACGAAATGAACGGATTTCCTTACGAAGATTCGTGCGAAGATTCACTTGGGTAAGCAGCAGAAACCACCCAAAATGTAAATATCTGTCTAAGTTTTGATGATATCCCGCCAGATTTATTGTGACTTTCATCAACAGGCCTCGCGTGACACTAGTCACGAACGAGATGGGTAAACTTACCCCCTGTCAGACACTTCTGAGAGCACCTGACTCTGAACACTGTGAAGTGACGCGTCATGGTCCTAAAAAAACTGAGGTAGCGATTTAGATTGGCTGGTTTCTTTTAAATAAATTTGCATTATTTTGACTACTTAACTTCGGGTATTAATTGGAAATTTATCTGAGCTTGGTTTTAAAGAGAAGGATGTATTGTTTTCTTCTCTAGAAAAACACGGTTTTCAATTACCTACAAAGAAGCGGAACTCGCTTCGTTTGCGACAGAGAAAAATTGCAGGCATTGTTGTGCCATCAGTCCCATGGACCAATCTAAGATGTGACTCCGTGTTTGTTTTATTTCTATAAACAAGGGAAACGAATTAATACACTGCGCTTATATGTTGTCTTTTTTCGATGAACCATACACCGGTAAAAACGGACAACCTTTTCCGCACGCCGGCTTGAAAAGGAAATCTTTGAATGTGCTCTTTAAGGGGCTGGGAGTAAGATGGACTTGCCGATACCCCACCATGTCCTTTAATTTATCATCAGGGGGAGCGGTGTTAGAGATGCAACGAAATGAATGAATTTCCTTACGAAGATTCGTGCGAAGATTCACTTGGGTAAGCAGCGACACCACCTAAAATGTAAATATCTGTCCAAGTTTTGATGATCTCCCGCCAGTTTTGTTTTGTTATGACTATCATCAAAGGCCTCGCGTGACACTAGTTACGAGCGAGATCAGTGAACCCACCCCTTGTCGGACACCCCTGAGAGCACCTGACTCTGAACACTGTCAAGTGAAGCGTCATGGTTCTAAAAAAAGGTAGCGATTTAGATTGGCTGGGTTCTTTTAAATAAATTTGCATAATTGTACTACTTAACTTCGGGTATTAATCGAAAATTTATCTGAGCTTGGTTTTAAAGAGAAGGATGTATTTTTTTCTTAGAAAAACACGGTTTTCAATTACCTACAAAGAAGCGGAACTCGCTTCGTTTGCGACAGAGGAAAATTGCAACATTGTTGTGCCATCAGTCCCAAAATGTTTCAGGCGTTCGTTGTAAAAATACAGAACTTAAGTCGTTATTTCCCTCATTCGGTTATTGCCCTCTTCGATAAGCAATAAAATAGCTATTTTTCAAAATGCGAATCTGACGTGCTAGTATGGCGCAAAAAAGCGTCTTTTCCTTAATATATATACATATTTTTTAATGACAGCTGATAAACAAAAGCGATCGATCTATCGCAAGCTCAGTTAAGAAACTAATATTTTAGCTAAATTGGATACTATATGCATTTCTTTGGTTTTCAGGAGAACAAGATTATCAGTCTGAATATAACACTAGAAGCGGACACCTAAAATGGTTGTTTTAGAATTAATTATTGAATGTATTCAAGCAAACAAACACATCTTTTTGTCGTATTAGAAACGTAACAAGGAAGAAAGGGAACCAGTATATTTGTACCTCTAACATGCGATCCGTAACCCGGCTGGTTCTGAATTGGCCAAATGTTCCTTTGAAATAAATGAACTTGAAATAATTTTTGAAGAAATCTTTCAACCTGACGCTAGCCTTCCTACTGGTGGGCAGCTGGGGAGATTTCCCGCTCGGGGTCTTTGTTTCGGCTGCAGACCGTGCTCAAACGAGCTAGAGCGGCGAATCCAGGAAGAAAACTTGAGTGAATTCCAATAGCATTCATACGTGAAATCCAAGCAAGCTACCAACAGTGACTCCAGGAAATATGTAGCAAAGACTAAACCAACGAAAATGAAACGTACAATTAACTAGTTTTCATGAAATATGATCCCTGCGAGGAACAGAAAGTCAAAGAAGACTAGTAAAATCTTAATTTTACAAGTAACGTACGGTGATCATGAAGAGATTTTCCCGAGACTTTCAGAATTGTATCCCTCTATCCGGCTTGTTCCTTGTCACGAAATTTTCGTTCCACTGAACTTCTCAGAGTGAAATTCTAGATGAATAGCACTGAAAAATAATCATAGTTTCAGATGCACTTTGTTTAACAAATTAAACTGCCACTTAAGTCATGTCGCGCTAAGCAGTTACGTCAGTGGGGAGTCGGTTTTTGATATCTTCTTCCAGAACAAATTGACAATATTGAGCGGCCATGACTTCGAAGACGTAATTTTTTTTAATCCCATCCATCTGGTTTAGGCTAAAATAATCATCTGATGTTTATATGGCGTTTTTAATCTTGTAATAATCAACCACACGTTTGTCACACGCAGGTAACAATTTGATCATAAACGTTTACTAATGTTGACCTAATTTTAATATATTCAAGTCAATATCACATTCTCCCTAATGGAATAATATATTTTCATCCAAATCATTAGAAAACATTTTTGCGCATGCTGTGCACCTAAAATCAGGGGCGAGAAAAATTAAAGCAAAGGAGAAAGCAATATAATCAAAATGAAAGAATATTCAGTAAAATATATTAAAACATAGAGCTCAAAAAGCTGCCAGCTAGCTGTTTAGTTGTCAAGATAACTTACATATTAGAGAAGAATCCGGTGTTTTGTGCACTTCAGAAGGCTACTAAAATCACTTGGTCACAAAATTTTGGTTGCGTTAGAGAGAAATCCTAGAGATATGGTAATCATATGTTATTCAAAGTTCAGCTGCACTTTTGTTTAACGCTGAAAGTGGCTTCACTCACCTTCCGTTAGGCAATCGCGTAGGAAGCCAGTTTACCTTTGACACTGTCGTCTTTCACGCAATCAAACTGTCAAATAAAGTTGCCTAACAAGAAATTTATGCACGACCCTGAAGCAGACAGCCCTCTTAAAAACCCAAGCATTTGATTTGACTGCAAATGCTTAGCTTCCTCCCATCATTACTTTTTCTCTTGCTTACTTGATGATCATAAAGAGAAACATCTGTAGCATTTTTTATTTCTTTTGATGATGTATTCAGGCTTTGTCAGACGTCCTTCGAACTAACTCATACAGCCTGCAGAAAAGTCGGGTTAGCGCGAAACTGGCGAAACGTGGTCGTGCTCTGTGTTCCGTCCCGATTGTTCTGCTGGATGGCTAACTAACTCATTATACCCGGTTAGGGGGGTACTCCCTATTATGGTCTGTACGGGGAGACTCTTGCCCGTAAGGGATACCTTTTTAGGTAGTCAGGTATATTTAACAATTATTCCACGAGCGCGCGTTGGATATGAGATGGTAGAGTTGGCTATAATCGTCTCATATCCAACAAGCGCGAGTGGAATAATTGTTTCATTAAAATCGCCCCCAAAATATAGAAAGATAAAAACTAAAACAAAAATAAACACACTCAAAAACATCACACGTACGCTTGCCATATTTGTAGAGCATGGTATAATGGCCCATAACCCATGATGGCTAAGCCAATGAAAACTCTCGAATTGCATTATGCAATGAACCAGTTTTTCATAAAAAAAAGGTAGGCATTTCACAAGTTGAAGTATACGAAAGAGTGGGGAAATCTGTCATTTAGTTATTAAAAAGGACTTTAATTTAAATGTTTCGAACAGACGCATGTTGTGGTCGTGTGATTAAATTTTTAACGGCTACATCGAAAATGACAAGAAGATTTCCTTTTATGGCAATTTACTCATAATAAAGGCCGGTTACGAAAGCGTGTGAAAAGCGTACCTTTTTTAAAATTAAAGGTATACGACAGGAGTACCTTTTCTGGCAAAATGGTATACAAAAGGGTAACGGGTCGGGCCCCTTGGCTCCCCCATATGATATAGTACCCCTGGGTTACCATGTTTCGCGCCAAAAATGTACTGAAAATGACAATTTCGTCTTCCGTTTCTCAACAACTACTTAATCTGGTATGTTTTGCCATAAATGTCTAGAGTACAATTTTGAACAGGTTACTTAAATAAATGAACAATTCATTGGCGATGCTGCATCTATAATTGGCTGTTCGAGACTTTAATCTTAAGATTAAACACGATACCTAGTCACGTTCTTGAAATCTCGAAACCAATCGCAGTACAATCGAAAAAAAAGTAAGAGTGTACTTGATTAAATGCACAGAGCTACTAAAATAACGCACCCCCAAGTGACTTTGCCAATAGTTTAAACCTGCCCGTTGTCACAACGTTCAAAAACAGAAAAATTTCGTTGATCGAAACCAGGAAATGAACTTGATGTCTCGCAACTTTTGGATCCCTGCAATTGCTTCGATAAAAGTAGACCTTAGGGCGCTGAACACGTTTTAGTAACGACTATAGCAATTCTGTGACGAGACTTATAATCGGCATGTAGTAAGCTTGGTAAAGGATCATTATAGCAGAGGGGGACCATTACATTATTGGTGGTTCACCCCTTAACAGGTGCACTTTACCATGAATTGTCCCGGTTATTTTAACGCCCAAGGGTGATTGAAACTGATAAGCAAACAAATATATACTGATCCAAATTTTATATCAGCTACCAGTAGAGTATGCAAATATCTCAATTTATCAGTACAGCCCGCAGCCATCTGAAAAAAATAATAGTTGGCTCTTTAATTGTCCCGGCAATCTGGTGATTGGTTTCTGCCCGCTTTGAAATTCAGATAACGAATTAAATATGTTTTTTTTATGTGGTGAAAAATAGAAAGATCACTCGAAAGAAATACTACTGTGATAAAAAAAGAAACAGAATATATTTTCTGTTCCCAGCTATCGAAAGTCAGTAGAAAACTTTGCATGTTCAGTTCGTAAGTGATTTTCTTTCGCCAAACACAATGGCAACAATTGTGAAGTCAATGCGCTTCAGTTGGTTTGCCACCAAATTCTCAAAGCTAACTTTATGGCAGAAAATAGAAAACAGACTTAATGAATGTTTGAGCTTGAAAAAAACAGGCGCATTTATAGAATCGATCAAAGTGATGCTTGTCGGTTATGCCAAAGATAAATGACTTCAATTAACAAGCAAATTCCCGCGAAAGAGACGTTCTGTCTCCTCCTTTCCATCTCATTCAAATACAAACTTCCAAAAGTGGACGAGTCATCTCTCAGGGTTTGTCAGTAGAAAGAAATAGAATGAAAACTTCCGGTAACAGAGTAAGGGCAGCCGAAAATTTATTTTCACTTGCAATATTTATCTTCTAAAAATGTGTAACAAGGGAAATACGTCTATTGGTGGCGGTTTCGTAAACTTATCTATTATTTAGTCATGGCTGAATCTTTTCAAACACGTCGCTTTCCATGCAGCTGAAGTTCACACTCACAGTTGTATCAATTCTCCTTAGCGACTGCACTACATTTCGTTCAATACCAGTTTGGAGAATATAGTTTAATTTTACATCAACAAAATCACTTGTCTGCTTCACAATGCGCTATTATTCAGTACAACTAGAAATCAGATGTTGGAACAGATAGCTGTTGTTGCACTGATGATTTTCCACAATCTCACTAGCTTTCTCCTTAACAATGCACTGATGATGTATGGAGAAAATAGAAGTTAATTACACACTTTGCTGAGCCTCTGCACCCACAACACAGCATCAACAAACTTGAAAAAATTGTATGTATAAATTATTAAGAAAAGATGAAGAAACAACCAAACCGCACATGCAGATAAACAAACTCATTTTCTTTACCTTTCAGGAAAGCTCAAACCTCGCTCGATGGCCTCTTCCGGTGAAAACAAAGCTTTTTAACGCAGTGCAACGCACGTGTAATTTTTTCACGACTAATCTTAAACGCAACACAAGCAGAATAAGACGTAGTCCACACCCTGAACTCTCCTTACTTCTCGCCCCATTTGAAAGGAGAGTTCAGGGACTGGACTAAATAAGAGGAAGAAGGCGGTAAATTAAAAATTAAAGCATCGCACTCCAAACCCTACCATCGTAAAATCATTTGGGTTATTCCAGCATTATTCCAGAATCTAATGTTGTCTTTTTGAAGCATGTTTAAATGTGTTTACATCGAGGATCTTGAAAACTTTTAGTCGAATTCTTTCACGTTCTTCGTTTTTAGTCAATCTATGATCTTTAAACAACATTGCTTGGTTCATTGCTCTCTCACTGGGGGTTCTATTTTCGCAAACATCTCCTCCATTTGAAGGTAAATTTGTATATCGTAAAACAGACGCCTCAAATTGTGACAGAGCTCCCTTAAAAAGTGGTCAGTTACGAACTGAATTAAGTTCAATTGATGGCAGAGACCGACCTACCTGAGATCTGTGGAATCCGTCTTTGGTGTCCCAGCGGATGACTATAAACAACGCAACATGTAAAGTCGCATTGCTTATAACCTCATCCGCGCTAGAAACATTCGTCAGTGATGGACATGGCGCTAATGAACATGAAATATGACATCAATGGAGATAGAGACAGAGATATAGTATCGTATTGAAATTTTGGCCCGCTGCCGTGATAAAATAACACCGCATTCAGAACTTCCATATTATGACAATAATGGATATGAAAAAATGGTTTTACTTAAATTGACCATCAATCAAAATAATTTCTTGCTAGAAATTTCTCTTTTGTGTCTGTTTGCTCCTTGTTTTTCGGAGAACGCTTTTAAATTATTTGGCCAGTTGCGAGTTTGGATCACAAGCGTTCATCCTGTTGAATGCAATTAGATCAACATGTTAAGGCCCCCGGTCCACACTACGCCTGAGAAATTTGTAAGCGAAGGTTTCACTTAGAAAACGCATCAAATGTTTTCCGTCCACACTACGCGGGAGGAATTTAAAAACGCAACAAACACCGTCATTTTGGATTTGTGTTCCGGAGGAACACTCGGGTAGGGAATATCACATGATTATCGTGACTGCATTGTTTTCAAAAGCTCCGTTTTCAAAATGTTTTCCGTCCACACGAAAACGAAAAGGCGACGTTTCAAAATTCCTCCACGATCCACTGAGTTGGAAGAGCGTTTTCGAAAAGCCCGTTTTCGTGACAGATTAGTGTGGACGGTAGGCCTAACCGTAGAAATAAAGCTGCGTTTTCAAATTCCTCCAGAGTAGTGTACGTGTGGATACTGCTTAAGTCTCAAAAAATACTAATAACTTAAAACCACATTTTGAGTTTATGGATCTTAAAATTCTCGAGCAGATTCACCCTCAAAATTTTGTGCGGGTGAGAACTGGAGCGCTTGAAAGCAACACTCACACCTGTAAACGTTGTTTCTGTTAGCTATACTACGGACATGAAAAGTTTCGCGTTTTTTTGCGGGCTCTCGGGCTCTCGGGTGGGGTGGGTAACAGGGTGAGGATTTCCTTCGTCTTCCCAACATACCTGGCGCACAACATATCAATCGCTATTATTCAGTCATTTCCCAATGGACAATCGGGTAAATAGCGTTAACATTTTGCACTCGTAGCTTCGCAGTAGAAACGTTTTGTGTTTTCTGTAGCCTCTCGTTTATGCTAATCATTTTGCCGATCTAGATCCACTACCATGATGTATTTTGTACACATGTTTATGTTTCTTAAGAAGCTCTGGGGAGACTAAGAACACGTTTTCGGCACCAGGATTTCTGGGATCGTTAAACAAAGCCCGCGTGGCTGTGATTAGGTAATGGCGTGTGCGTTTTTTGTATTTTATTTGATTAGGTAATGGCTGCCTTTGGATACGTACCACTGACCAATCACATCTTGCTCTTGTTACCATGATGATTGCTAACGGCTTGCAACCCAGCGCCACGCTTCCTGCCATAAATATCGGCATAGAGATTACCTGTAACAGGACTTATCATCTCGCAAAGATCATTAAGATCCGACTTGCATCAAAACTCCACTAGCCCTTTACAGTAGTTTAGTTAGTCGGGGAGCACTGCAAAAAAGTGGAGAAAAATTGAGGTAGAAGACGGTGCGAGTAGGCAAAACAAAATTCTAGTTTCCTCTCCTATTTTATTCTTTCGCTTGCCTTTTTCGCGCTGCTACCAAGTAGAGGAAGCGGCGTTGATTAGGGCTCTGGATAGGCCTTTCCTCAAATATCCGGATATTAATGTTTGGGGTATTTAGAAGTTTTCGAGATATTTAGAAAATTTAAGGATATTTTGAAATATTCATAGCTTTTCTTTTGGCATTTTCCCGCTTTTTTCTTGAAACAATGCTCAGTTCTATGCCAGAAACAATCTAGTTCAGCGATTACCTACTCGAAATATATATTCCATATCACTAAAAAGGCTGAACTAGCAATTTTCCAATATGGCGGAAACTGGTAACGTTTTCTTGCACAGATTACAACCTGGTGTGCAATTTTTTCCTAGAAAAATGACTTTTACTTCAAACCGGTTTTGTCGCTTTGCACTCAGCCTCAAGATCATGCGGCAAAATATTCACCCTCTATGGTGAGGTGGGGATATTTGACAATATGGCGGCTCACTAGAAGTAAACGACACTTGTGAATTGGCCAAAAACAGACCCAAATTCAATGGTCAAGAGAAAATCTCCATTTAAAGCTCATCGTAAAGGAGTCTCTTGTGTTAACTTTGGTCCAAATGGACAATTAATAGTTTCGTCGTCAGCTGACAAATCGATCAAAATATGGAACTTTTCGGAAAAAATTGGAAGGGACGTTGAAAGGCATTCTCGAATGTTGTTTGGAATTCAGAAAGCCGACTTCTTGTTCGGAATCAGATGACACTAGTTTCCAACAAAACGTGAGTAACAACTCTTCTTGGTCATCAATATGTTGCTGCTTGAATATGAAGCTGGTTGTGTCAGTCCCCCGGGGGGAGGGGGGGTACTCTTATACGGGCTTTATAGGTCTGTGCGGCCACAAAAAGTAGGTTTTTCAGTCGTTTTGGTCATAAAAAGTTTATTGCTTTTGGCCATTTTGATCTTAAATAAGGTATGGTTTTAGCACTCTAGTCTTGAATTGGGTATGTTTCTTAGAAGATTACAATAAGACCGTCAACAAAAGCCCTTCATAACTTATGTATAGGGCAACTGTGCCAGCTACAAAGGTCATAAATTGGGTATCAAATTTTTGGCCAGGTCATAGATAGGGTAGCAAAAATCACAGATTTTGGTCATAAATAGAGTAAGGGTTTTGGGGAGTGGGCCACACGCCCCCACCCAACTTTTCTGGGAGTTCCCCCCCTCCAGGTGTCAGCCCTGTGTCGGGCTCATTTAATGAAAGCATCAAGATCTAGAATGTATCTGAAGGTGTACAATTTTAGTTTAAAAGCATTCAGTAAAAAAATTATCCAGACTGCAGACTGCAGACTGGGTACAATATGCACACTGAGAAAAAAAACATTTTTTGGTCTTATTTGATAACATGTAATTGATCATTATTGTAGCCTACCCATTGTCACACAGTCATCTTTCTGCAGTCATCGCCTATGACAATGTGCGTTGCTGGGGAATATTCTTGGCCTGGTCAGTGTAAAACGCAGATTGCGGACTACAGACTTTTTAAATACATCTATGGGTTATTGACCAAGCATGAGGTTAAGATGACTGGATATTGGCCAAGTTCTTTTTATGCATGTCTATGGACCAAGACAAAGTGTCAGTCCATAAACACGCAAAAAAGAACGAGGCACTCAGTATCCAGCCATCTTGACCAAATAAGCTTGGTCAATAAAGGTTTTATTATAAGGAAAAAGAACACTATATTCTTGCGGGACACAGTGGGTTATCCCAAGCAGGCAAGATAGCCCCATCTTGCCTGCTCGGGTAGCCAATCACAATGCACGATTCGGTTCATCTTGCCCACTCACAGAACTAACCATAAAATAAATTGTATTATTTCCATTATCGATTGCTAACTGTTAGCACGGTTATTCAGGCTAATTGCAGTGGAAGTCTGCCCTCCGGTTTGCCTGAATATCACTCCAGCTAGCCTGCCCATCACTTAGGTTAGTCCGAATGGAAACGCAGTTTGCTGAATCTATTTAGCCTGTTTACATTTAGCTTTCAATGATGGAAATGGTAACAGTTAAAAAGTTCAAGAGTCTGCAGTCTGCATTTTACCCTCAGTCTGCATTTTACCCTCAGTCTGCTATTTACCTCCAGTCTGCTATCTGCATTTTACTCCTGGTCAGCCTCAATCTGCTATTTACCCCCATTCTGCAATCTGCATTTTACCCACAGTCTGCATTTTGCCTCCTGTACACAGTCTACATTTTACCTTCAGTCTACAATTTACTGTCAGTCTACATTTTACCCTCAGTCTGCTATTTACCCCCATTCTACAGTTTGCATTTTACCCTGTCTGCATTTTGCCCCCTGTATGCAGTCTACATTTTACCTTCAGTCTACATTGAACCCTCAGTTTGCATTTTACCCCTGGTCCTCAGTCTGCAGTTCGCAGTCTGTGTTTTACACTCTGACTTGTTGTTATCCTGATTCAGGTGTTACATATTAAAACATAATAAATGTAGAACAGTAATTTACTGTTCAAGAATTTATATTCTTGACTGTTTTTTTATGTTTTCTGCAGTTCCAAGCTGTAGTGATTACTCAGTGATCCCCTGCCATGATACTCAAAGGACAACTCCAGTGGTATGGCATGCATTTTAAATCCAGTCCACAGTCCACATTTTACCCTCAGTCTTCATTTTATCCCTGGTCTGCAGTCTACATTTTACCCTCAGTCTGCATGTAACCTCCAGTCTGCAGTCTGCATTTTACCTTCAGTCTGCACCATACCCCTGGTTCGCAGTCTGTATCTTACCCTCTGTCAGTCTTCATTTTACCCCCAGTCTGCAGTCTGCAGTCCTCAGTCTACATTTTACATTGACCATTGTTGTTATCCTGATTCAGGTGTCAAATATTAAAATGTGATAAATGTGGAACAGTAATGTACTGTTCAGGAATTTATTTTCTCAACTGTTTTTATGTTTTCTGCAGTTCCCAGCTGTAGTGATCCCCTGCAATCATACTCAAAGGACAGCTGTAATGGTAAGTCTATGAGATTCTTTTTGTGCTTATTTTTTTACATTTGCTACTAAAAGAAGTTTCTATTACTTAAGGTGCTTTCATCATTATTTGTTAAATTGAAAAGAAACATTTTGTGGCAAACAGGTGATTTGATGTACACCTTTATGAAGAATTAGGCATGATCATAGAGCACTGCATTTCATAACATAAATATCTCGTTATATAAATTTATTTGAACTCTGATTGGTGAGGTTGATTAGGTGTTAACAATAGAGTATGCAAGTGAAGTGTCATGTTAGCAAACAACACGTTTATTCACGATCCTAAAAATTCTATATGTTTAAAAAAATGCAATTGCAATCTCAAGTCTAATTCGTGACTAATTTCCAAAGAAGATTGTTTGAAACCTTTTGGCATGAAACCTGAAGTGTCAATGTTGGTCTGTTGTATTTTGAAATGTGCTACTGAGTGTGATAAGCCCAGGGGGTGGGGGGGGGGGGG